AGCTCCTCCCTCCCGTCTTTTCTGCAAGTCCTCGCCTGAACCCGGCGGGCTTTGTCGGCTGCCCTCACCAGTACCCTGAACAAGCAGCTTCCTCGCCCTTGGGTTAGGTGAGCCCTTGACCACGCCCTCCTCTGCTCCCACCGCAGCCTGTTTGGACCGGCCAGCCCCTCACACCGCCACCCCGATGGGGTCCTGGGCACCCTCGGGCCTCTGCCAGCTCTGACCCTTGCTGCTTGCAGGGCACCTCCTCCTGGCAGCTTTCAGTAAATGCTTACAACACAGAGTCCGGATTATAGGGGCCACGGGGCCCCTGATTCCAGAAATGCCATGAATACAGTAAGTTTTATGTCCTGGCAGGACATTGGAAGATGTCGGTACAGCAAGGGGACCCAAGAGCCAGTTTCAGGTGCCGAGACTGCGCACAGGCTGGCGGCGCGGGTTCCTGCAGTGCCGTGGCGTTTGCTTCCGCAGCCCTTCGGCCCTGCTGCGGTTGCTAGTTCACGCCCCACTCTGGGCATTCTCCCTCTTCTCCCACCTGCCGGGAAGGGGCTGGGAGGGAGCTCCTGAGTAGCGGTGTCTTCATCACCATCATCACTTGACAGTGTTCTTAGTAAACCCCTAGGAATGTAAGGATACAGACCACATCAGGCTGACACTGCCTCCTTCGCTGGTAAATCCCCATTCTGGGAAAGTCGGCAGTCTTGGACTAGGAAGTGTCCATCTGGCAGCTGATGAGATGAGGCAGGAGCCAGGAAGTCTGAACCCCAGCAGAGCGCGGGCGTGGTTATCCACTCCACGTGAGCTCCTCGGAGGGGTGCATGCAGAGGCCGCAGGGGCGGTGGCACCTGGCGGCCGGGGGCAGGGATGCAGACTGTGCAAGAGGAGCTGAGCTAACGGCGCCTCCCCGAGTTCCCCCACCCAGCAGTAGATCAGACGGCACTAGCGCTATTTGTTTAAAATAACACAGGTGAGGAAATTTAATCAGGCAAGTGAATGGGATACAAAGCAAGACATGGAAAATCAGAGCAGTTTTTTTCCTGAGTTCTTCCTCTATTTCATTTTCCTCTCCTTCTCTTTGTCCTCAACCTCAAGAAAAGTCTCCCTAGACTTCTTACTGTTCCCAGACAAGTCTCCGGTCGTGAATGCTTCTCCCTGAGCAGATCAAGCTGGATGAGTGAAAAGAACCTTGCCTGAGTCAGAATTTTATCAACCAGAAACAAGGCCAGGAAATGCATCTTTATTGCCCCATCCCCTCTCCCGCCCCAGGCCCTCACAGGCCCCCTGGGGCCTGGGACTCCCGCGAGAGCTGCCCCCACGGCCTGTGGGCCGGGCTGAGAACCATCCCAGGAAAACCAGTGGGGTCCCAGCTTTTACTAAACACGTGAATTTCCATTTCCTGAGTCGCAATTGAGGTTTTGAATGTTGGCCAAACATCACGTTAACACAAAACAGGCAGCCATATATAATGGAACAACCCTGCTCCATTAAGGGTTTGGTGGGCAGTACACACGGAACACCAGGCTGTTTGCTGGTTGGAAAGACAGCACCATACACAGACGTGGCTGGGAGGAAGATGAGTTTGTGGGCCACAGATAATTTTGGCAAGTGTGTTGTGCCAACGTGAATGTCACCATTGACAATGTGTCTAGTGTGCATGAGTGGGCCTGCGCAGTGAGCACGGGGCAGGGGGTGGGGGGCCAGGAACCCAGAGACCCTGGCTCCTGCGTGAGCTGAGCCGCTCGCTGTGCTGTGGCCCCTTCAGCAATCTGAGCTCCGGTCTTCTCCTGTGGTATAAAAAGCATGGTTGCCTGATGCATGGGATTAGAGTGAGAATTAAACGAAACGTGTGAATGGGGACAGCTTATGTGGAAACTCTAAAACCCTGTACAAATGTGAGAGATTGAAGTAAAACACTCTAATCCCAGCGTGAACAAAACCCAACACTTTCATTCTTAACCAGATGGCTCATTTGTGGCTTGGCTTGGCTCTTACTACATCAAATGTTTCATTTAAAAAATATTAGCCTTTGGGACAAGAGAGGAAGCATACACAGTGTTCCTCTGACAGGTTCAACTGCACTTCTTGGGCACGCTCACTGATGCTGTCACGGGGCAGCCACGATCAGCCAGCGGACGTGACAACTGGCAGCACGGACAAAAAGTATTTTAAACATTTATTGACGACATGCGCACAGAGCACCTCCCTGAGTGCGGAACGAATGCTCATGCCTCGCGCAGGTGCGGCACCGTGAACGTGAGCGCGGACTGAACGCTCAGCCTCGCGCAGGTGCGTCACCGTGAACGTGAGCGCGGACTGAACGCTCAGCCTCGCGCAGGTGCGGCACCGTGAACGTGAGCGCGGACTGAACGCTCAGCCTCGCGCAGGTGCGTCACCGTGAACGTGAGCGCGGACTGAACGCTCAGCCTCGCGCAGGTGCGGCACCGTGAACGTGAGCGCGGACTGAGCGCTCAGCCTCGCGCAGGTGCGTCACCGTGAACGTGAGCGCGGACTGAGCGCTCAGCCTCGCGCAGGTGCGTCACCGTGAACGTGAGCGCGGACTGAACGCTCAGCCTCGCGCAGGTGCGGCACCGTGAACGTGAGCGCGGACTGAACGCTCAGCCTCGCGCAGGTGCGGCACCGTGAACGTGAGCGCGGACTGAACGCTCAGCCTCGCGCAGGTGCGTCACCGTGAACGTGAGCGCGGACTGAGCGCTCAGCCTCGCGCAGGTGCGGCACCGTGAACGTGAGCGCGGACTGAGCGCTCAGCCTCGCGCAGGTGCGTCACCGTGAACGTGAGCGCGGACTGAACGCTCAGCCTCGCGCAGGTGCGTCACCGTGAACGTGAGCGCGGACTGAGCGCTCAGCCTCGCGCAGGTGCGGCACCGTGAACGTGAGCGCGGACTGAACGCTCATGCCTCGCGCAGGTGCGGCACCGTGAACGTGAGCGCGGACTGAACGCTCAGCCTCGCGCAGGTGCGTCACCGTGAACGTGAGCGCGGACTGAGTGTTCCATCCGTGGGCGTTGTCTCATCACATTGTCCTCGCCGCTAAGAGCACTGCTGTGGGGTTGGTTGCTGCGGCCACCGCCGTCCTGCCGCCGAGGGGTCACAGCTTACCGGCACCTTCGTCATGCTGGAGATACCGCAGGAGTGCGGGAGCTGGGAATCACAAACATTTCTCAGAAAAAAATCCTTGAAATGTATAATACAGCAACATTCTATTACTACAATATATGTTATTAACACTCTAATATAGTACCATATTACCATGTGAATTAGCATTTTTATATAAAACTTCCCCTAATATAACTGTGATGCCCAAGAGCAGAGATTGACAATGACAACCCCCACAGGCCAAACCTAGCCTAGTGCCCATTTTTTTAAATAAAGTTTTATTGAAACATTCATGTATGTATTAAACTTGGTTGCTTTCATGCCATAATCACAGAGTAAATGTAACAAACCATATGACCCCCAAAGTGGAAACATGGGTGGAGCCCTGGTCTAGGTCTGTGTAGCCACGATCTTCCTGCAAAGGTCTGCGGCAGCGTGTGGCCGCCCCTTGGCTCCCCACGCCGCCGAGAGGATCTCTGCCTCCTCTCTGTCTGTGGTATCCTGGGCCCCTCTGTCAAGGCTCTGGCCGGACCGGGGTGTGCTCACCGTTCCCTTCGCTCCGGACTACGAGCTCCTTGGGGGCACCCCGTGGTCATTCCCTGGGCATCCTCCCTCCCACCGTGAGTCCAGCCTGTGGAGAGGCTGTCACTCACTGCCTCGGAGCCTAGAGAGTCCGCCCAGGGAGGCCAGGCAGGATGTGTTCCTGTGACAGGCTGCAGGTGACAGTGTGGAAGGCCCTGGAGGAAGGAGGAAACACCAGGCAGTTTAAAGGATTAACTGGGAAAGGGGTGAGGAAGTGAGCAGCCCATGGAAAGGCCTGGAAGAGAGGCAGCCGGCAGGGTTCCTTCTGGGGAAATGGGGTCCGTGCCGTTCCTGCCAGTGTCTGGGCGCCACTGGCCTGGCCCTGTGCTGGCCAGACTAGCTGTGTGGGACCAGCCACAGCTCCACGTAGGATCTGGGGGTTGTTTATTCCAGGCCATAGCTTGTTATCAGCAATTCCCCACAGATCCAGAAGCATTTCCGGCTTTGGGATCTGAGTGGTGCAGTTCGGAGGCCTTGTTGTGTGCCAAACGGGAGTGTATCGTTAAAGGGACCCATGCATGTTGGTAAGTGTGCCCTGTGCCGTTGGTCCCTAAGTCTTTGACCGTGACTCAGTGTAGGTAGTCAAGAAGCTTGAATGATTTTTTTTAAAAAGACAGATTCAAGGAAAACTTAACAATCTTTTAAATTTAAAACAAATTTCATTGCCATCCATCAAGCCATGGGTGGGCAAACAGAATGTGCTGCAGCCGTAGGCTGTTCAGCCGCAGAAGGAAGGAAGTGTGTGCTGATAACAAGGCTACAACCAGAATCAGCCTTGCAGACTTTCTGCTGAGTGAAAACAGCCAGGCACAAAAGCTCATATGTTGTGGGATTCCGTTTAGATGACATGTTCAGAGTGGCCACTGAGCGGATTGGAGCAGATGGGTGGTTGTGGGGGGCTGGGGTGAGGGGCGTGGGGATCCACTGCCCAGGAGTAGTGGAGTTTCCCTTGCAGGGGAATGTGCTGGAACTAGATAGAGGGGTGGCTGCACAGCGTTGTGACTACTAACCGCCACTGAATGGATCACTTAAAATGGCGTGTTTCACGGTAGGTTGATTTTGCCTCAACCTTTAAAAAAATTGCCTAGGAAAGAAAAGAAATGCACATGTGATCTTCTTGACTGTTAAGTCCATTAAATAACAAAGATGTCTTGAGTTTTAAAGAACGAGGAACCCGCAGCCCAGTGGCGACCAGGCAGCCCCGCGGGCTGAGTCGGGTGTGGGGACCGGCGCAGCCATGGCCTCGGCCCCGGCCCCGGCCCCGAGGACGGCCTGCTGACGGCTCCCCTTTGCTTGTCTCGACAGAAGTGGAGAAAACGCGCTGCCAGCTGGAGCGAGAGCATGTCCTCGGGTCGGCGGGGGTGGCAGGCCCGCAGCGACCCCTGCCCGTGGGGCTCTTCGTCCCCGAGTGTGACGAGCACGGGCACTACGTGCCCACCCAGTGCCACGGCAGCACCGGCTACTGCTGGTGCGTGGACCGCGACGGCCGCGAGCTGGAGGGCACCAGGACCAGGCCCGGGATGAGGCCCCCCTGTAAGTTGAGGGGCAGGGTGTGCTTGGGTTTGGGCCTCAGAAGGGCCTGAGGACCAGAGTTCCCGGTGCCTGTGAGCATCTCTAGGGGGGCCCTTCTGAAGACACAGTTGTCGCTTTCTGCTGCCCTAAAGCCTGAGAGCTCCCCTGGCTTGAACCCCATTCCCTCCCTCCCTTCCTGCCCTCTGCGCCCCTCTTCTGTCTCCCTCGGCGTTCACCGCACGGCTGTCCATCCCTCCCCCTCACGCCTCCCCTCTCCCCCTCTCCTCCTCTTGTGTGCAGATGACCAGCAGCCCCTGCGGCGGCAGCGCCGGGGCCGGCAGCAGAGGGGGTCCGTGTGCCCCGGCAGCTCCCTGTGGCTAGCGGCCTGGCCTGCGGTGGCTCTGCACTGGGACACTGCAGGCTGGCAGAAACCCCGGGGCCTGGCCTGCTCGGTGGTGGGAAGGAACTGCTCTTGCCCCGGGACACTGGCCTCCCTCGTGGCTGTGCCCTGGGCCCTTTAGGCACCTGGCCACTTAGGGTGCAAGGAGGCTTCTGCGCTTTGTTCTGCCACGGCCATGGCCGTGGGACCCCGGTGTCCCGATACCTGTTCCGTGCCCCTTCCCCTGAAGCACGGGCTGCCTGTCCCCTCCTGGGACTGTCTGGTCAGGTGGGCCAGGGAGCTGTGCTCCACGTCAAGGCAAGGAGAGAGGGAGCCCTGGTCGTCCTGTGCTCTGGCGAGTCCCGAGGGGCGTGCTGCTACCGCGGTGGGTCTGAGACGGCCCACCGCGGGCCAGGGCGCGCGGGCAAACTCACTGACAGCCTGCGCATCGCCAAGCTCAGCCGTGTGCCCGGCGCGAGCTCCCTGTGAGCGGGGCGCTCAGAGCTGCCACGTTGCTGCTGTCCGGTTCACTGCCATGGCCCATGTCCGAGGCAGGTGTGCATGGCCAGGTCACTTCTATTTATGGGACACTCTGCCCTGCACTGTCTTCTCCACAAATGCCCTTTGAAGTCTTTTTCCTCCCGTGCTTTCAGATGTAAGATGATCTTTGTGTGCCTGCAGTCTGTGGTGGCGTGCAGATGATGTGACCTGGCGTGTGGACGTGTGTGCAGGGGTGTGCATTCCTGCTGCACTCAGGCCTTGCTCATTGACCGCTCCTGTCCCCCCAGGTCTGAGTACAGTGGCTCCCCCGATTCACCAGGGACCCTCCGTTCCTCCTGCTGTGATCCCTCTGCCCCCCGGGACCCACTTACTCTTTGCCCAGACGGGGAAGATAGAGCGCCTCCCGCTGGAGGGAAGCACCATGAGGAAAACGGATGCCAAGACTTTGCTGCATGCCCCGGTGAGTGCGGGCTCATTGTCGTCCCTGGTGACGCTTCGATGACCCGGGGACCCAGCAGGGTGTAGCCAGGCCTCCTCTCAGAGAAGCCCGTCCCGGCCGAGTGCCCACTCAGTGCTCCTGACGCACACGTGTCGGTGCATCTGCTGTGGACCGAATGCGTGCCTTCCCGCCAAGAGCAGGAGCACCGAGCCGAGGAGCTGCCCATCCGTCCCAGGGCTGCCTGTTCCGTGGGGGGTTCCAAAACGATGCCTGGCGCTCAAACTGCTCGCCGCATGCAAGCACGCGTGGTCTTGGCGTTCTGCCACCGTGGGAAACGTGAACCCTGAGGGGGTTGCTTTTCTTCCTGAGTGCGCACTCTCAGGGCGGGGACGGGTTAGTTCTCTGGAAAAGTCGTTTTCCCTGAGACCGAGGGGAGAGGCTGAATGTCAGTGAGGCTCTGAGAAGCCGAGAGCGGAGGGGGAGGGTGCTGACAGGCAGGGTGAGGATCTGCTGTGTCCTAGGATTTATTCATTTATTGCCGCTTCAGCTGTTTTAAGTGTATCGCTTGGCGGCGGCGTTGCGTACGTCCACAGTGCTGTGCAACCATCATCGCTCTCTATTTCTCTATTCCCACAGCTTTTTCATCATCCCAGCCCGGCATCTTATGCCCATTCAACACTAAGTCTCCTTTCCCTCCTCCCCCAGCCCCTGGCGACCAGCCGTCTGCTTTCTGTCTATGATTTTGCCTTTTCTAAGCACCTCACTTACGTGGAATCTCACAGTGTTTGTCCTCCTGTAACTGGCTCGCTTCCCTTAGCAAAATGTCTTCAAGGTTTGTCCGTGTGGGAGCATGTGTCAGGATTTCCTTCTTCCTAAGGCCGAATAGTATTTTATTGTGTGGACATGCAACATTTTACTCTTTCGTTCATCAAAGGATGTGGGTCCCGTCCACCTCTTGGCTGCTGGGAGTAGCACTGCTGTGAATGTGAGTGCGTGGATATTTGTTTGAGTCCCTGCTTTCCCTTCTTTCGGGTAAAACCCAGATGTGGAGTTGCTGAACCATACGGTAGTTCTACATTTAATTTTCTGAGGCGCTGCTGCCAGCTTGTTTTCCCCGACAGCTGCGCCGCACGGCCCCACCAGCACAGCGCAGACGTTCCAGTTTCTCTGCCGCCTGGCCAGCCCTTGCTTCCTGTTCTTTCATGGCAGCCACCCCGAGAGCCGGGAAATGCTGTCACTGTGGTTCTGATTTGCATTTCTCTGCTGATGAGTGACATTGAGCATCTTCTCATGCACTTGTGGACCATTCGTGTATCTTTGGAAAAATGTTTTTTGTTGTTTGTTTTTTTTTGCCCATTTTGTAATTGGGTTGTTTTTTCTTGTCATTATTGAGTTGTAGGATTTCTTGATATATTCTAGATACTAAATCCCTTATCAGATACATAGTTTGCAAATATTTTTACCTGTTTCATAGGTTGCCTTTTGCCCTGTTGATTGTGTTCTTTCATGCACAGGTGTTTTTAATTTTGATAAAGTCTAATTTATCTATTTTTGTCTTTAATGTCCTATCCAAGAAATCATTGCCAAATCCAGTGATATGAGGCTTCCCGCCTGTATTTTCTGCTCAGGGCTTATAGTTCAGCTCTAATGTTGAGGTCCGTGATTCATTTTGTTTTAGTTCTTGCGTGTGGTGTAAGGCAAGGACCCCTGTGTCCCTTCTGACCTGACTCTTGACAGAAGAGTGTCTGCTGAGAGCCCCGATTTCCCCACTCAGAGGTCACCCTGTCCCTCCACCTGTGTGGCCCCCAGAGCCTCCCTCGGCGTTTCCCTCGACGTTTTAGAGTGAGCGTATACGTGTCCCCCAGATCCCTCGCTGGGATTTCGATGAAGATGGCATAGAATCTTTAACTCCGTTTAGAAAGAATTGGTATTTTAGCAATATCGTGTCTTACAATCCACTAAACTAATTCTCTCTTCATTTATTTGGGTCTTCTTTAATTTCATTCTGCATTGTTTGGTAGTATTCAGTGTAGAATATTGCACATTTAAAAATATTCTTAAACACTCTGTTTTTGATTGCTATTGTAAACATTATTGTTTTCAAATTGTATGTCTTGTATTTCTTTTTTAAATGATCTTCAGGTAGGCACATTTCTTTAGATGATATATAAAAAGTATTAGCCACAAGAGAAAAAATAATAAATTGTCCTTAATAAGAAATAAAACCTTTTTCTTTTTAAAAACACCATTAAGAAAATGAAAAAGTAAGCTATATACTGAGAGAAAATATACATAACATACACACACACATACACAGAGGTAGATGACAAAAAATTTTTATCCGAAATATGTAAAGAGCTCCTACAACTCCATAGTAAACATTTTAAAGTGGACAAAAGAAGACACTTTATAAAACAAGGCACAGCAGCACATGACAGGCTCCCACCATCACGAGTCACTCCGGGGCTCGTGGGTGGCCCGCGTTCACCCCAGGTCTGCGCTTCCAGGATAAAGTCATCATTGGACTGGCCTTCGACTGCGTGGAGAAGATGGTTTACTGGACCGACATCAGTGAGCCTTCCATTGGGAGAGCCAGCCTGCTCGGCGGGGAGCCAGCCACCATCGTCCGGCAAGGTAGGCGAGGAAGGACCAGCCTTCCGTTTCGGTTTGGCTCCCAGCAGCCCAGGTGGCTGTCGGGGGCGGGCGGGGGGACTGGATGTACGTTGCCCACGGGATATGGTGACTTCCGAGGGGCGGGGTCTCTCCAGCCTTCTGTGAAGAGTCCTCCAGGGACTCATTGTTGACCCAGGAACACCTTAGCTGGGACTCGTTGCCAGTCTAAAAAGAGTAAGATCAAAACAGGGTAAGTGTGTGCCTTTCTCTGAAAGCTTGTGTAGCCAGTTTTAATGAACCATAAAGGCCAAACTCAACCATTCAGCTGAGAGCTCCATGTCTCCCTCTGGCCGCTGCGCGTAGAATTAATTCTCAGAGCGTGGGCCCGCCGTGTGCTCCTTCAGGGTGTCCCACAGGCAGCAGGCACGCGAGTCCCAGTTGGAGGGCCACAGGCATATTGGCCAACACTGCCCATGATCGCTGAGTCCGCTCCCGCAGCTGTTCACATTGCAGGGCTGCCACGCCTCCCCGGGGAGGGGGTCCCCTCATCTCTGCCGACCCCTGCACCCCGTGGGCTCAGATTGTCCCAGAGGAGCGCAGCAGACCGGGCTGAACTCTTGCTGACTCTCCTCTGTGGCACAACTGACAGCAAAGTTCGCGATGGTTTGGCACAGGCTACCCCTGAACGTTCAACCTCAGCTACTTAACTTAGAGATGCTGATGTAAGCCAAGGACTGTATGCATTATTTGAATGCATGCCTTCAACAAGCCAAGACTATTTTACATGGACATGTTTTATCAACATTAAAATCCAAGGACTTTATAAAAATCCCCTTGTACTAAAAAGGCCAGCAGAGTTTCAGGTATTTTCAGTCCAAAGACACGGTCATGCTGGTGATGCTTGTTGTGTGAAATCATCCTGCTTCCTCCTCAGAACACGCGAATCAAAGATACAGCTTTGAAATATACAAGTCTCATTTGGTATTTCTCTTTACTTGGAGCTGAATGAAGCCTTTTCAATTTCCTGTGTACCATTTCCCTAACAGTTGATGTTCTGGAACGTTCCTTTGCCTGTGGAGCAGCCCTGGGGCATTTTTCCTTCCTTGGCTCCCTCGTAGGAGATGATGCCACAGGCACTCTGCTGAGGTTGGGACGAATGTGAGTGGCTTTGGACACAGACACCACATCCTTTTTTGGAAGCCGATGTGCTTGCGACTCGAACAACATCTGCTCGTCTTCATGGTTTGGGTTAACGAACAGAAGTTTGAAAACGTCTCTTCGCATACTGTCTCTGTTAAAAATGTGCTGTTTTCTATGATTTGACTTCAGAGCCCAGTGGGAGAGGAGCACAGGTCCTCCCTGCTCTTTCCTGTTGCTCCTGGAGCAGATAATTATCCAAGGACGCCATGAGCCCGCCAGGAGCACTCCAGGCAGAAGCCCCTGTGGGGACACAAGTGAACACATATGTGATCTTTGTAGATGGAAGGGAATCCATTTTTGTCACTGAAAAAGAGAGAACGGAGCTTCTGCTTAAGCCTTCATCATGGGACAAGTGGCTACATCCCTAGCGAGTGAAGGTGGCAGTGGGTCCCTCTTAGTCTCGCCTTCCTTATTTAACACAGTCCTGGGCTTCGCTTTCTTTCCTGAAGTTAAAGAATAGAAATATCTTTAATATCTTTAAATAGTCTAACAAACTATCTTTAACGTGTCATAATGTGTTTCCTGGATAAATTGCCTCGCCACCTTTGTTCCTCGCCCTGACTGCACAGGGCACGGTGACGTTTCCAGGCTCCCGGTGGCGCTTGTGGCTGGTACGGAAGTGGCTCCTGGCAGGGGGTGGGGGGGAGGCCTGCCTGCCCTCAGCTCTGTGGTCAGGACCAGGGCCTCGCGGGGGGTCTTGTGAAGAGGCCCCTGCTGAGCAGCCTCTCTGCCTTCGCCCTGTGTGTCTGAGCCGCTGCTTCTCCCGCACAGGGTGTGCGCACTGCGGACCGGCCCCAGAATTCTGTGTTCTGGTCTGTCTGAAAGTCCAGGGGGCCCTCAGACATCAGCCTCGCTGTCCTCCGCCTCTAGGGACATGGGAAATATTTTCATACTTTATAAATCTCTCTTTTGAATAATGAAGACCTTGTTCAAGAGCTGTTTCTAGTTCTTAATAAACTGCCTCTGGTGGGCTCCCTTCAGGCTCTGAGTGCCCAGCACCCACAGTCAAGGGCGCGTCGGCTGTCTGGTAAAAGCCGACGTGGGGGCTGAGGTCTGACTTGCTCCGATGCCAGAGAAAACGCAGGGCACGACGATTTCCTCATGTCCCAGACCCCTCAGGGAGGGCAGCGTCCCCTCCGGCCACAATAAATGACCTTCAGTTCTCTAATCAGACAAGGGGCAGCGACCCTGAGTGACACCAGTAAATCCCTGGTGGGGTTTTGGTTTCATTTACAGTCGGAAAGCCATTGCAGCCTTGACCGTCCGGTGAGCTGGGCGGCGCCGAAGGTGCCCTCTGTTGTCGGCTTGCCCTGCACCACAGCGAATGGGTGGCATCTGTTAATTTGTCACTTTGGGTATTGCTTATCTTACTACAAACAACAATCATGTCACATTCCCATTTGTTTTCTCAAAGTACAAGGATGAGATGCCGTGTGAAACAGCACGGAGTGATCAGAAAAACCGATTCTCACCTGCTGAAAAAATCGGACATGTTCTGCGTTTGCTCCTAGATCTCGGGAGCCCGGAAGGCATCGCCCTCGACCATCTCGGCCGCAACCTCTTCTGGACGGATTCTCGCCTGGACCGGATAGAAGTTGCGAGGCTGGACGGCACCCAGCGCCGCGTGCTGTTTGAGACCGATTTGGTGAACCCCAGAGGCATCGTCACGGACTCCGTGAGAGGGTACATGGGGACAGTCTGTGTGTGCCCGCTGTCCTTGCTCCCACCCTCTGGGGGTGCTCAGTGCGAGGCTCTGACTCCAGTGTCCCTCTCCTGACGCGGAGGCCTGCCGTTGGTGGCCGATGGCGACCCACAGTGAACTGCCAGGACGCGTATTACAGTCAGGGACTCGACACCATGTTCCACTTTCAGATCTTTTCCCAAGAGGCTTTGTAAGTTGGGTATTTCCACGTGGGTTGAATGCTGATGAACAGCGGGGCCATGGAGGCCCCTTGCGACGGTTCCATCAGCGCCTCAGGCCTCCTCTCCCTCTCCCTGCTGCAGGCTCTGAGTCTGACCCATGGGGCCCAGGCTCCTCGACACTCTGAGGCCACACCCCTTGTTCTGGGGCCGCTGCCACCTCTGCCGGCATCCTTCTCTGTCCCTCAGCCGCAGACGGGTGTGCCGTGCCTCCCCGGGCGGTGACAGCACGTGGGGCCTCCACGTGTTTATGCCACTCGTGTTCCGTTTCGTTTTTCTCTTTTAACAATTTTACTGAGATGTTTGAGGGAAGGGCCTTCAGTGCTCACATAACAACCAGGTCGCGTGAAGAACTGGAGGACAGTGGGTCTCAGCCCCTCCCAGTGCTTTTTACGCAGCTGCGTCCCCACGTCTGCTCACATCTCCATCCGCGGCTCCTCAAGGTTTTAAAATGCACTTCCTCTCATGCATCTTCGTTATCCCTCCTCCTCTTTCTCCGCCTTCTCCTCCTCAGGAACCTTTATTGGACAGACTGGAACAGAGACAGCCCCAAAATCGAAACTTCCTACATGGACGGCACCAACCGGAGGGTCCTCGTGCAGGACGACCTGGGCCTGCCCAACGGGCTGGCCTTCGACGCTTACTCCTCGCAGCTCTGCTGGGTGGACGCAGGTGACTCCGGGGTGGGCAGGGCTCGTTTTCTAACCAAACAATCACTGTTACCCACACTGAGCCAGCCCGGTCTGTACCTTAAGAGGATGTTACGGGAAAGGGGCGTCACATTTTCTTTCCTACACAGAAAGAGCTTCCCGTCCGTGCTCTGAAAGTCAGCGTTTCTCTGGGCCTGATGTGCTGGGTCACGTAAGCGTGGGGTCAGCAAACCGCAGGCCATACATAGGCCAGTCCAGCCTGCCACCTGCCTGTGTGCTACCTGGTATAACCTGGGAGCTGGAAACGGTTTTTACATTTTTAAACGCTGTCTTTTAATTGGTTACATAAATGCCTGCACAGTATCCTTGATTTTGTCTCTTGACCCACAGAACCTAAAATAATTACTATCTGGTTCTTCAGGAAAAGTTTGCCAACCCCGGAGCCTGTCCTCATTATAATATCTATTAATTCATGACGTGTATTCCTGTAGCTCCCACTTGTCCCCAAGGGCCAGGGCAGGACTCGGAGCCAAGGGAGATAATGTGGTGCCATTCTGACCTGTGCCCCCGCCCTGGCAGCTTGCGGGCGTCCCGGGGGCGAGGGCTGTGGGCAGGGCGCACAGTCAGAGCGGGACGTCAGTCACCCATTCGTGGCTGTTGAGAGCCCGCCCTGGCCCAGCCTGCCAAGTACTGTAGGGGTGCAGGGGCCACGTCTTGCACTTGGGGCGCACAGAGGGTAAAGGGGGCACAGCCTCTTCCCTGTGCGGGCATAGGCGCAAAGCTGTGCCCAGCTGCTGGCCGGTGCGGCGGCTTGGTTCCCAGGCCCCGCGTTCAGGGAGGGCCTGGAGCGGCTGCGGGACGAGGCGTGTGAGCGAGAGCTGGCGGGCGGCGGCGTTTCTCCTGAGCCCCGCGCTCTGGGAACAGGCCTCAGCTCCACGCGCGCCTCCTGGCAGAGCCAGGCGTGGGTGCCCGACAGAGGCGGGTGCTGACCAGCGCGGGCAAGAGAGGGTGAAGGGGCAGCTTTCCAGTTTTGAGGAGCAGGCTTCCTGTGTTCTCCAGGACCCACCATTCAGACGCCAGATTTCTCTCGCCCTCGCTCTCGTTGCGCTTGTTCTGTGACACAAAGGGGCCATTTCTCGTGCGAACAATAAACGACTTGTTCTCTGTCACACAGGCACCAGCCGGGCCGAGTGCCTGCAGCCGGGGCAGCCCAGCCGACGCAGGGTCCTCGAAGGGCTCCAGTATCCTTTCGCGGTCGCGAGCTTCGGGAAGAATCTGTATTACACGGACTGGAAGACGTACGTCAGCGGCCGGCCTTGCTGCCCTCCACCTCAGAGAGGCCGAGCCCTTCCCCTCGTCCTCTTGGCTTGGCCTCCAGCCTCCAAGGCGCCCCCTCTGCCTGCGCCCTCTGGTCGTGGGAGACGGGCGAGGCGGGGCTCCTGGTTGGGGGCCAGGGGGCACCACTTACCACGCAGGCGCTGCAGGATGGGCGGCAGTTTCAGCCTGTCGGCTTGAGCTGCTGGGCACGTCTGTGCTTTCCCCAGGAGCTGGCCCAGGGTCCCTTGGCAGGTGGGCTCCAGGCCTACTCCGTGCCCCGGCTTCTTCATTGTTCTTAAACTGCAGAACGCCACAGCCCCATCTTGACCACCCCTTCCTACAGAAAGGAGGGTTAAACCAAGCCAGCAAGCCCACGCTGTGGCCAGAGGCATCTGTATAGACAGCCGATTTCCCAGCTTGGAATTCAGTGCCAGACGGGAACGCTGGCTAATCGTTGTCCTGTTTTAAGAAGACAGAAAAATGCAGGCTTGACCCACCGCAGAGGAGGAAGGGAGGGAGGGAAGGAGGGAGGGAGGGCTGGGAAGCAAGGCCAGTGTACCCGTGTGCAGCCTCTAATTTATCCCCCAAATGACGGGAGAGGCTGCTCCATAGAGAAAAGTTGGTCCATCAGATGTGTTTTACCTTCTGCCCTTTGGTTCTTGCAGGAATTCCGTGATCGCCATAGATCTTGCCGTTTCCAAGGAGACGGACACCTTCCACCCCCACAAGCAGGCCCGGCTGTATGGCATCACCACCGCCCTGCCTCAGTGTCCCCAAGGTAACTCGCTGTGCTCTGGCTGCCCAGGGCCCAAGGGCCCCTGGGGCTCAGAGCCGGCTCAGAGCCCACGCTGTAGCTGCTACGGTACGGCCTCTAGTGGCCCTGCTCACATGTCCCCTCCGTCAGGGGTTTTCACCGTTTCAGGGGGAGCCAGATAAAGAGGAAACAGGAGGAGTGAAGTGGGCGGGGGTGAGGGAGGTACCGGACCCCGGGCTGCATCGAGCAGTGTGTGGTCTTCGGGTTCCACACAGGAGCGCCAGGGTTAGGATGCCTGCTGCTTGGAAAGGCCATTTATTTGTCCTAAAAGCAACAACAATAATTAGTAATCAAAATAATTACAAACATGAATGCGGCCCTTACTGTGAGCGAGGTCCTTGACATCGATTAGCTCACTCAGCATTCTAAGTGCTTTGTGTTCCTTAGTTCATTTCATCCTCCCAGCAACTGGAGGAGGTAGGTACTATTGTTATGCTCACTTTATAAGGAAGGAAACTGAAGCCACTCACGCAAAGTCACACACACTGTCACAAAGACGGTGGCAGAGCTGGGGGCATCTAGGCAGCCTGGCTCCGGAGTCTGGGCTGCCTCTTCGAGGCCGCTCCCCTGACACGCCCTTCTCCCTGGCTCCTTCCTCCCCCAGTCAAGGGCAAGGCCAGCCCAGATAGAGGGGACTTTGTGCTTTGAAATTCCAACTCCATGTTCTAATCAGAGGGAGCCCCCTCTCCCTGAGATCCACAAAGCCCCCAAATGAGCCGTCGGGGCCCTTGCCTGTGGCACATCCTGAAGGATAAAGCAGCAGCCAGGAGATGAGCTTAGCCGAGGGCCCGGTACAGCCTTCCCTGGTCCCCTGAAGCCCCCCGGCGCGGCCTCCTGGAAACCAAAAATGGGGGTTCACACGGAAGCCGTGCTCTTAGAGGGCTAGTGAGCGGATGGCCGCCTTTTGCAGGTCACAACTACTGTTCGGTGAACAACGGCGGCTGTACCCACCTCTGCTTGGCCACCCCGGGAGGCAGGACCTGCCGCTGCCCTGACAACACCCTGGGAGTTGACTGTATCGAGCGGAAATGAGGACGAGGGTGCCTTGTTCCCTCACCAAGTCTTTCGCAGCCGCACCCTACGTCCAAGGGTCCAGACGAAAGACTGACCTGGTGGCTGGGTGGCCACCAGCCTGAGCCTCAACAGCGTGCCCCTCACTGTTCCCCAAAACATAAGCCCCAAGCTCCTGGGATGGGAAAGCCTCTGTACCTGCACAGACAGAACAGCCCCCCAACCCAAACCCTCGGACAAGTGTATGCAGATGGGGGCCGCACGCCCACCCCAGGCCCCTGGGGCCGGCCCCCACAGGCACCCCAGCGGCGCACAGACCCACCCAGGCCTGAGCCGCCCCTCCCTGTGGCTTCCTGAGCTCAGCGTCCGGGACGCGCCAGCCAGGGCCCCAGCCCAGTGGTGCCGGAACCGGGAGAGCCTTCCAGGAACAGTTGTTTGTCTTCAAAGGCAAATAGATCCCCAAGAATGACAAGGTTTGGGGAACACGTGGGTGGTTTGTATGGCCCAACCCACAAATTAGTTTCACTTTCTTTTTATATTTATCATTCATTCCATATCAAGCCCTCTATATCAAATGTTTGTCATAATTTTGTATAATTTTTATAACTTCATTTTTTTAAATGGTAAATTCTTAAAACTGTGGAAACCATTGAAGGTGCTTACTAACTGTTCCCCCCGTTTATATCAGTGTTGGATAATTCCTTGAGTTTACAGCTGTATAAATATTAGTGCAGAAAATTAAAAAAAAATTGTTAATAAATCTTCCTCTATCCTATTTGACTGAAGAAATTTAATGTTGGGAGGCTGATTCACAGTGAAAAGAACCATCTCATAATCTGTAAGCCTGAGAAACCCATGTTATGGGGTGCTGGTTTCCCAAGCACGTCAACAAAAGGCTAAGGGGCTTGTCATTGACCTGAACGTGAACTCAGTCACAGACCCCAAACCACCCTTTTGGAGATTGTTTTCATTTTTTAGAAAAATTTCAGTCTCCTGATTCAGTTCTGAAGAGCTATTCCGCTGCTGCCGTGCCCGCCCCCCCCCCCCCCCCTGAAGGAACACGCCCTTTGCTGGCACTGGCCGTGCAGTGAGGCCGCAGGCCAGCTGGGGGTGTGTGTGTGCTGCACGCACGCAGCGAATGGGCCTGTGCCGCGGACTGAGGGGAGGCTCAGACGCCGCAGGATGCGGTGCACGCAGCCACCGCGGAGAAGGGAATCGGCACACGAGGGACTCTGTGAAACGGCCCCCGCAGTGGGATCAGCACAGCCTGTTGGCAGTTTCTGGAAGGGGACACCTTTAGAGTTAGGCCAAAACCTCCAGCGTTTGATTCTTGTCATAAAATCTACTGAGGCGTCGTCAGGGAGGGTGGTGGAGTGGGAGGCTCCAGGAACCCACCGCTCTGCTCAAGCCACCACTGGGGTGATGGGAAGGGTGTGAATCAGTGGCTTTAGGTCAAGCAGACACTCAGCACCCAGGCAAGAGCTTGAGGAGGCGGGTGAATTTTGGTCAAGTTCAGCTTTCCCTCAGCCGTGGCCACCGACCCCTCACACAGCCCCTCAGCAGGCAGCTGCGGGGCGGCCCACGTTCCCAGTGTGCTCGTTGGAGCCGGGGTGGGCGATAAGGACTTCGTTACAGATCAGGGTTGTGGGTTCTGATCGCTGATGGCTGCTCCCGGCCACTAGGAGAGAGGGGCAGCACAGAGGGAAAATCTCCATGACTTTGGATTTGGCGATGATTGCTTGGATGTGGCACCAAAAGTACAAGCTACAACAGAAAAAATAGACAAATTGGTCGTCATCAAAATTTAAAAAATTTTGTGCATCGAAGGACACTATCGAGAAAGTGAAAGGAAAAAAAACAAACACGGAAGTGGAGAAAGTATTTGCAAATCCTGCACCAGAAAGTGGTTACTATCCTAAGTATGTAAAGAACTATAACTCAAGGATAACAAAAACCACCCAACCCAAAAATGGACAAGGGGTTTGAGTCCATGTTTTATGGAGAAGATACACCAATGGCCAATAAGCACATGAAAACATGTTAACACCATTAATCTTTAGGGAAATGCAAATCAAAACCACAATTAGATGTAAAAAAACAAAAAGCACTGAGGAAGATGGGGAGAATTTGGACCCTTGCGCACAACTGGAACCATGTTCCCAGTGAGAATAAAATCGCGCAGCTGTCGTGAGCGATAGCTTCATGGCCCCTCAACAAAGCTCAACATACAGGTACCGCGTGACAGCATTTCCGCTCCCAGCTGCATCCAAAGGATTGGAAGGCAGGGGCTATAACACATTCTTGTCCTCCCTGGAGGTGTCCCCTCCCCACCCTCTCAGGGTCCCAGGGGCCACTGCCTCCCCTGGTCTCTCTGGGCCTCGGGGAGGTCACGGTCCCTGGCACTGTCCCCTCGGACCGCCCCGTTCCTGGAGATTCCCCACACTCCAGCCATAACTTGAAGCCTCAAATTATCCCAATGTGAGTGCACTGGTTTAGCTGAAAGCCTAGCTGGCACATGAGTCCGTAGCTCTGTGACCTTTACCTTTGAGTATGTTTGAAGATGTCTGAAGCTTAGCTTTTAAAAAGCCATTAAAAGCCTATTTTATAATCACACATCACATATACCTGTGTCCAGCTAGGATGCATGTTAGTTACAGAGAGCTAGCAGGGATGAATCACCCAGACCCACAAAAAGGTACAAGAAAGCCCTGTGGGTTTCGCCAGCTCCCCGATTTTCAGCCGGGGAGCCTCCGCTGGCAGGCAGCTTAACCGGCCCACTCGGGGAATTCTGCGTCCACATGGCAGTCTGTCGCTCCGGGTTCAGACTCAGTTGTATTCGGGAGTGTTGGCGCTGCCTCCCTGCTCAGAGTTCTCCCCAGTCCCAGATCTGACCCCGGGGCTGCAGACCTGCTACGTAAGACCCCCCCAGTGCAGCCTCCCTGCACGGGGTCGGGCTGGCCTTCCACAGCGGGTGGTCTTCCAAGGGTGGGCCTGCTCGCGGCTGTCCCTCCGGGGTCTCCTGATCCTCCTCGTCCCGGCCGCCTGGACGATGGGGACACCCAGCAGCTCCTTCAGCCCCTTCGCCCCTCTGTCTTCCCCTGCGGGACACGGGTGGTTGGTGGGCCGCCCTCCTCCCTTGCTGCCCTTTCTCGGGGGCTGCCCTGCAGAGGCCCACGGGCACATGTGAGGGGCTTCTGCCCACTGGCAGGCCGCACTCCTCCTGCCAGAGCTCGCTGACCCAGCGTGCCTCTGCCCTGCCCCTCAGCCTCTCCCTCTGCTCTGGGCTTCTCCGAGGGTCATGGGGTGGGGAGGCTGCCTCTGTGGGCTCATGGCCTGGCAAGGCTGAGCTGTCTCATGCCCTTGTTCAAGGTCACTCTAACCACAGCCCTCCTGGGAGCAAATGGAGTCCCTGTGCTGTGGTCCTAAAGGCAGAGGCCGCAGGCGACAGGTTAGAGAGAAAGGACACTCCATAGTGCCTCACATGATCGGTTTAACACACAGAGTCCATAAGAGAAGTAATATGGACATAACTATCCAAAAACCCTGAGACACCTGGCTGCCCCCTTCCCGCATGAGTCAGAGTGCGGGACGCTGCCTAAAGCTGCCATCCCAAGGATCAAGGTCCCTTACACGGAGACCGCTCCTGACAAGGGGCCTTGAGAAGGGAGATGTGGGTCTTGACAGACAGACTTGCTGCCCGGACCCATGCTCAGGGCCCGAGAGCACCTTCCCTGGTCCTAAGCCACTTTAACACAAAGCGACTACCTTTTCTCCCCCGAGGAGCAGGGTTTGGGCTCCGACTGCTCACCCCAGGGGGCCTCCACTGTTTCCACTCCCAGGCTTAGTTTAAAGAAACTAAGCCCTGGCCAGGAAGTTCAGTTGGTAAGAGCATCATCCCAATGGGCCAAGGCTGGGCGGAGGGGGTTGACCCCCGGTCAGGGCACATACGAGAATCAACCAGTGAATGCATAAATAAGTGGAACGACAAATTCATGTTCCTCTCTCTCTAAAATCAGTAAGTTAACAATGAGTGAAATAAAATAATATAAAACATCACTTCCAGGTATTGAGTCTCTTGACACCCAAAACGTAAATGTTAGCACTTGGAATCCTGGCGTGAAGTGAACAGTCCCGTGGCTTCTGGCCTAGGGAGCAGGGGGTCCCTGTGCAGCCTGGGCGGGCCCAGCGCTGCACCCAAGGCGAGTGTGCAGCAGGAGGCAGGAGCGGCCCTGAAGACCGGCGGGCAGGAGTCACGTCAGCAGTCGTGCCGTGGACCTTCATCAGCCGTGAGAGAGCAGCTGAGATGTCCACTCGTGTCCATTCAGGGGCTGGGCCTCCCGATGCCAGACACCGGGTGGGGAGGGGCTGCCCGGGCACGTCCCGCCCGCGGGAGGGTGGGCGTCTCACACCTGTGCCCGGCCGCCTGTCCTCCAGCTGCTGGCGCTGCGAGTCTGTGCTCCTTTCTCCCCCCCGGGGGCCTTCCAGGGTCCTCGGTCCCCAGGCCCACGGCGGCGCTCCTCTTCCTCGCGGGCTTCTGGAGGGCGGGCAGAACAGGGGCGGGAGTCCCTCCCGGATCCCCTGGCTTCTTTCTCAGCACCGCCCAGTTACTGCGCAAGGGCGACAGACCCCGAGCAGCCCACCTGCAGCTCCGTCTCCACCCAGCCCTGCTGTCCTCACCACCTGACAGGCTCCAGACCTCCTTTGCCTCCAGTCTGGGCTATTCAGTCCCGGGTGGGCAGTCAAAGGCTTCCAGGGACAAAGACACATCCCCTTACAGTAACATTTTGTGGTTGAATGGGAATACAAACACAGAGAGAAAAAGGACTTACCCCTCCCACCTCTCCAAACTGCTTCAAACTGCTGGTGGTTGCTGTGAAATCACCGCTGCATCTGGGTTCCACTGGACTCAGGTGTGAGAGTGATGTAACTGTCTTATTTTTCTTAAAGATTTATTTATCTTTAGAGAGGGGAAGAGAGGGAGGAAGAGGAGAGAAATATCAGTGTGTGGTTGTGTCTTGCGCGCCCCCTACTGGGGACCTGGCCCGCAGCCCAGGCATGTGCGACCCTTTGGTTCGCAGCCTGGCGCTCAACCCCCTGAGCCACACCAGCCAGGGCACAGTCTTATTTTTTTTAATGCCAGCATGGGACGCCTGCAGTTCCACCTCTTTGTAACTAGGCAAACGCCAAGACAATAAAAAACGTCTTTTAGTGGGTACTCAAGCAACGCATGTGGCGATGTGAAAGGAGGGGAGCCAGGGCCTGAAGGGCTGAAGTGCCCTGGCCGCCCCCCTTCCGCTTGAGTCAGAGTGCGGGACAGCACCTAAAGCTGCCTTCCCAAGGGTCAGGGTCCCCTACATGGGGACAACCCCGACGAGGGGCCTTTTTTAAAACAACACACAGTTAAGCCCTGGCTGGGTAGTTCAGTTGGTTGGAGCGCTGGTCCATGCATCCAAAAGGCTGCAGGTTTGATCCCTGGTCGGAGTGTGTACAGGAGGCAACAGACTGATGCCTCTCTCTAACTCCTTCCCCAACTGCACCCCCTTTTCTCTAAGATCAATAAAAACGTCCTCTGGTGAGGACAAACACACGCGTGTGCAATTAAGAGATAGAGGGGCCAAAAAGGCTTGGAAGATAGGATCCAGGATTGGCTTCCTGGTTACCTGAAGCACAGGTGGGAAGAGAGGAGCCCAGGTCACAGGACGGCCTGGGCTCTCCCGCGGGTGTGACACAGCCTTTACTCCGGGAGGTTCTTCCCCGCTGCAGTTCC